CCACCTTTGTTCGCTGCATCGTGTTATTGAATCATGGCCTAAAATGACATAAAATTTACATTAACCAATAGACATCGCAAAAATTAATAAATAAAATACTCCCCAGCAAGAATGACCTAACGCATTCTCCAACACACAAAATTGTCAATAAAAACCATATATGTATATAATACTTCTATATTGGCAGTAAGCTAACTTCTCAATGTGTGAGCATTCCGAAATCAAAGCGAGACAGTCTAGTACCGTTTTTGTCAATGTAATCTGCACTTGAGTGCCGTTTTTGTATATGTGTTGTGTACATGTTTATTTATAAACGTATGTGTTCCTTTTCTTTCGTACGTATTTATTGATATATCTGTACTGTAGTATTTTCGGACGGTACTAGCTCTTACTGCCAATATAGGAGTAGTACATATACACCAACACGTTTGCTTATTAGCCATATCCATATGCCATTCTTTGCGTTATATAACACGTTATTAATCGCATAACAATATTTGATTGAAAAAACACAACTACATATGGGATAATATAATAGTGAATTTGNTATTTATTGATATATCTGTACTGTAGTATTTTCGGACGGTACTAGCTCTTACTGCCAATATAGGAGTAGTACATATACACCAACACGTTTGCTTATTAGCCATATCCATATGCCATTCTTTGCGTTATATAACACGTTATTAATCGCATAATAATATTTGATTGAAAAAACACAACTACATATGGGATAATATAATAGTGAATTTCATGTAAAAGAAAGAGAAAACTGCTCACACGTGAAACGATTATGCGTTAGATTTCTCCAGGAGCCCTATGTAAAAAGATGAAAAGTTTTTGAATTTCTCACACAAACTGTTTTTAGTACTAGGCATGATACAAAAAAGAAGGTAGTTTCATTTAATGACATTCGTTGTTGTTTTTAACCATTTGACTTTTAATAAAATTATGACATTTCATTAAATTCATGCTACCTGATCACGAGCAGAAATATTTTTTTTTAAGCAGAAGATTTCATCAGTCCACTCAAAGATGTCGAATATGATGAACCTGAAAATTATTGCATAATCTCAAAAAGGGGGTTTTTCGTCAACTAAGTTTCAGAACGGATGAAGAAAGTGATCAAAATTATACTTATGCTAATTTCTTATCGGAGGGCGGTCTGCGCAAGCCGAATTCAAGTTTTTTGTATACGTTGGAAATTTTAAATTCGAAATTTGTTGAAGTCAATGGTGATACGCTGACCACAAAGCCTAATTTTTTGCCAAATCTGATGAGAAATTTAAAAGTAAATTTCCGCGAATTTCATGTGAATAAATATTCTCAAAATTATAAAGTAAAACAAAATAATTATTCCCAATTTGTTTTTGTTTTGCGTGTTAAGTTATGAGAACAATTTATTCACATGGAATTGGCGATTATAAAAGGATTTATTTGGAAAGAGAATTCTTTAGAATTAGATTTTTAAATTGCAAGATTGCATACAAAATAAGAAAATGAAAAAATAACAACATAATGCTCTCGTGATTTTTATTATAAAATAAAAAGAACAATTTCAATGAAGTCTCCTTTAACATTACATATTTTATATATTTTTAATAAAAAAAGGTGCGAACCACGTAAATAAAAAATTACCAAGCACTGATGATGATTTTTAATTTGAAATATTATTAAATTGGTATAAATGTGGGAAAGAAAATACTCCGATTTGTTGTTTTAATATTATAAAAGTGGCAAGGCCGTTGAGAATGCTCATAATTTATGAAACTTCAAAAAATTTTATTATCCGTCAAAAGTTGTTTATTGAAACTACCTTTTTTTTGTATCATGGTACTAGGCGTATATAACGCATTAGTTAACAAATAGGGATCCTGGAGAAATCTAACGCATAATCGTTTCAAGTGTGAGTAGTTTTCTCTTTCTTTCACATGGAATTCGCTATTATATTATACTATATGTAGTTGTCTCTTTTCAATCAAATATTATTATGCGATTAATAACGTGTTATATAACGCAAAGAATGGCATATGGATATCGCTAATATGCAAATGTGTTGGTTTTTATTGACAATTTTGTAAGTGTATTGGAGAATGCGTTAGGTCGTTCTTGCTGGGTATTGGCAATTTTGTAAGTGTATTGGAGAATACGTTTCGTCGTTCTTACTGGGTCGTTTTGTTTTTTTTTTCTAATTTCTGAGAAATGTGAATTCACCACGATGCAATACAGAAAGAACAAGGACCAGGGATGTAATTTTAAGTATTCAGTGGCAATGCGAGGAGCGTTCTGAGTAGCAAAATTAATTTGTATTAAACATAACATTAAACGGTGGTTCTAATACAATTTTTAATATTATTATTCAGAGTGCATACATTATATGGTATTTCTTTCAAAAATTAATGCAGTATATGAATTTTTTTTAATATTTCTTAAGTTTCTATCATTAGTGCTGAAAAGCAACCCTGCGTGTAAGAAATTATATGGTACCTAAAATTTCACCTCTGGAAACTTTATGCCCATAAAGGACTTCACCACAGTTTTTTTTTACTGAATATACTGAGGTTGCTAGCTGCGTTTCAGCGAACGCCGGTCGGGATTTCATTTATTATTTTACATTATTTGGAAAAAGAAAAGTCGCGCAAATTCAACATTGATGGTACCAATGGCTTTGGAGGCTTTCGCCTTCCCGATGGCCACCTGAAGTTCACCGCTAATGAAAGCAAGGGGGGCGCAAGTTGTTGGCATTTTGTGCAGCCTTCTGGTCACTCGATGCTTGGCTTTGTCCGTCCGAGGATGCAATATGAACTGCCGGCTAAAATAGCTCGCGCATCGCCCCGGATCCGACGAAGCATGGTCGCCGCAAGAAATTTCGACCCGGTCGTCGTGCTTCGTCGGATTGGACAGTGACCTCACGGTTGACCAAATCTTACTAACACCAGAGGTGAAAGTCTTCAGATGCTCTTCCAACTTTTTCCGCTTATATACGTTCACAAGCTGCAGACTATACGCGTTCAGATCCCTGATACGGGGATTTCCGGGATCGGCCTGACGAAGATTGTCACGCTCATCGGACTAGGACAGCCGCTTCAGCAGCGAAGTTTGGACGAGGGTCCATGATACATCCTGCCGGTGCGAAGCGAGTTGCAGCAGACAGTGACAACCCTGAAGAACTTACGTTCAACAAGGTGGACGTCGGTTGGTGTGGGGAGCGCAGCGAAGGTGCTCTCCTAAATTCCGCGAAGCCTTTCCAATCAGCTTTAGAAAAGTTGATATAGGTCCTTGTCCGGTGTTCCGCGGAAGCAAAGTCGGTTGGTTTACCGATCGAGATGATTATGGGCGCTGACTATGGTGATGTCTGGCGAGCTACTGCAGTTACCCATAATCCTGGTGGGTGCGTCGTCGTTCATTGTGCAGAATGTCGAATCGTCTATCNTCAACATCGCCTGACCGGATAGCAATGCCCTGACATTCTAGGGTGGTATACCAGCGGTCGATGTCTGCTTCAATAAGACGATACTGCACGGTGTGGTGCGTGATGAACGCTAAGCCACCACTATTATCTCGCTCGCGATCTCGACGGTGCACGTTGTACCCGGCACAATTCAACTATGTTGGATTGCTGTGCAATTTCGTCTCTTGGACCGCAGCTATCAATATACCCTGCCTTTCCATTAATCCTCAATCTTGCTCTGAAGTCCGTTACAGTTAAATTGAAGGAGCTTCATATGGCATATAAAAGATGTGGTCCACTGCCGATGTGTCCGTAATCCTGAGCAGACTCTGAGGTGGCTCCACCCCTCGCAAGCATTGCACTTGACTGAGGTGGAGTTGTGGTGTAGTCGTCTCTGGCATATACAGCAGGAGTAGGTTTCCTGCCCTGGGTTTGACTCCATGCCAGCCCTGAGCAGAAGAATACGTAGCAAAGGAGCCCTATGGACGACCAATTTCTGAGATACTTCCCCGACCTAAACGGGGTTGATCGCCGAAACAACAGCCCTTGGTCGATTAAAACCCGAGTCATTCCGATACGTAGAAACGTAAACGCTCCATCCGGCGGGTTTAAACTAAGATTAGCCAATGAAATGTTTGCCAGCGGTTCAATATAAAAGCAGTTTACGTGATATAAGTTTAAACTGGCAACAAAACTTGAATGGCTTCATAACTTGTTAGTTGGGCCAAAAAATTCTCCGATCTTGTAAAAAAAAAGCGAGAAGGCTCTTTTATTACTTCACCTGTTTATAATCTCACCAGTGTATGGACTGCGCTTTTTCAAGTAGGCGGGTTTCAGGAGCCACGCCTTCTTCCCCTCCGCCCAAGACTCCTAAAACGCTGGCTGCAATTCTTTATTCATTCTGAACGTTTGGAATCTACTTGTTTGTTTAGTTATTCTTTAGAACGTTCCTGATGATATGTTAACGTATATTTCAGACGCATTCTGATTATTCTGGCTGTGAAATGGAATGAATAAAGAAACGCAGACACTGATCAAACAAACAATCATGAACGAGACACAAGATCACGTAAGAACAAGAGAGTGAAAAAAGTCGATTTGTTTTAGCGGGTTCTACGCCATCTTGTTTCACTGGAAAACGAGCGAAAAGTAAACAAAGCAAAGAAAACAACGAAAACCAAAATTAGCCAAAATTATTGTCAGCCACTTTAAACGCACAATTTAGGTAAAATGATGCAACAAAATGCTTTAAAATGTGTTGTCATGTTGAATTAACTCTTCTTTACTTGAATAAAAGTGTAAAATAGTGGTGCTTGTGATGTAAACAAACGCTCAGCTGACGAACCCGCTTTTGCAAACTTTTTTCTCAAAACCAGTTACAAATACAACGTCGTGTTCTTACGTGATCTTGTATTTTTGGTTCATGACAAACAATTCACCAAAAGTCTGCGCTAATTAATATATTTACGATCTCTGCCTTCTCCAATATTTCCTTCTCCGCTTACGTTCTTGGAGCTAATAATTATTCGAAATTTCTTGAGGTCTGGCATCATCATTTTTAGACCAGCCCCCCGTCTAGTTTCTTTGTGTTCTTTACGTTTCAATTGAGGGTTTATTTCCAAAATTTTGCGGCTTGTTAAATGTAGCATTGATAACAAAAGTTATTTAAAATATATTCCTGAAAGAGTATACGATGGAGTTTACTATAAATCATTACTACAGCAAACAGAACAGCCGATGTGGTTATTGCAAAGGCACCAAGTGCTCGGTATCTCATGGTGGGTGTCGTAGATGCACTTATGTGCATTGATTTATCAACAAATATACATGTATACATAATATATTTTTAAAATAGCTATTAGTTTAAGTACATAAGTATGTGGAGCAATCTTCGATGCATATTTAAACAGTACGAAACAAATTTCCGAATACCATTGCGAAAGGATGGTTAACTGTCAGTCCTTGTCACGATATAATTTTGATTCGTTCTTGTAAAGCAGGTTGTTATGAAACATGGTTTTTTTTGCCATTCCTACTATTTCTGATATTGTCGGTGAATATATGAATAAATCTTTTTAGGGAATGCACATTTTGACATGCATATACATATGTATGTATAATATAGATACATTGTATATAAATTGGAAACTATAAACTTTCGCATACGCACTAATATATTATTGTAATATTTTATATAGTATGTATTACTAAATATGTAAATGTGAATATTCTTTAGTTATCTTTAATTTATATGATTGAATGCAAATAGGTAGTAATCCGTCGTCTATTTGGAACTAATTATGTACATATATTCATAATATTAATTAAAATCCCAAAGTAATTTTTCCATTACCATTAGGGCGATGAGTTAAGTTGTAGTTACGTTTTAGTATATTGTTCTCCATTTAACTAGTTTAAATAGGTTCATATATTAGTATTTTATTGATATTTACAGGCATGCACGCATACACAATATTTCCGCAAGATTACCAGGATTTAATAGATCGTGGCTGGCGCCGTTCGGGCCTTTATTGTTACAAGCCCTTAAATAATGAAACATGCTGCCCGTGCTATACTATCAAGTATGCAAAATTATTTTTCAATTCATCACTTTAATTGTTAAATTACTTTCCTCTGCAGATGTGATGCTCTAGAATTTAAATTAACCAAGTCTCACAAAAAAGTTCTCAAACGCATGACACGATTTCTTCGCGACGGAAAGAAAGATAATAGCGAGGAAACAGAATTTGGTGCTGCAGCTAAAGATGGTAAAGGCAAAGATTGTGAAGATGGAGCAGGTGGTGGGGGTTTTGAGGAAAAGGAGTCTGATTCTGTTGGTGGAATACGCGACGAGCCGCAAGAGCCAAATTTGCCTATTAGTGATGTAGATCTAGCAGTTGTTGCAGCCACAAACCCGGAAAAATATGAGACAGCGCGCAAAGAAAACCAACATTTTGATGACCAAACGTCGCTGCAGCCGCAGAATGTCGACGTTTCAAAAGTAGAAAGTGCAGAGAAATTAAATTCTTTGAATGCTTCCCAAAAATGTATGCTTTTCCCTATAACTGTTAGATGTTTAGATGCTATCTAATTTTTTGCAGCGTATGATGGCTCCAATCCCCCACGCAAAAAAGCGAAAACCATGCGCTTGGAACGCAGGCAAGCCAAATTAGCAGCTAAAGGTATTGCGGAGCCTGAATATAAAACGCAAGCGTCGATAAAGAAAGGAAATAGCCCAGAGAAAACACTTTCGGAATATTTTGCTGATATTAGTCCTAATGACAAACACAAATTAGAGGTAAGTATACAAATACATATGAGTTTTAATATATGTGTTTACATATGTTTGTTAAACTCCGGTATATGGGTTTTCATTGTTCTAGCAATTTGGTATTGCGGTGCAATTAATTATTAATAAATACATATTTTAGCTTCAGTTTACCATTATACAACTTTGCTTAAAGAATTCAGAGACCACTTGATCTTCATCTCGATCCGAATTATGTTGTTGCTATTTACAGGTGATTTTAATAGCGCCGAAAAAGAAACGCGTAACGGATGAAGCATTCAAGTTATATAAGAAATACCAATTGCTCGTGCACAATGACGATCCTAATCGTCTAACACCGACTAGCTTAGAGCGTTTTTGTTACAAATCTCCTGTTAAGGTAAATAAATTGATTCTTATTTGTTTTTCACAGTTAAAATTGGTTCATGTCAAAAGCCAAGAATTCAAGGATTCGCTTAAATCTACATACGCGCTTTATCAGAAGTATCAAACGCGCATTCACAACGATCCCCCAACTCATATAAGCGAATATTTGGAGTTTTTACAACAATCGCCACTTAAGGTTAAATAAATAAATCTGCTAGCCATTAGTGGTTATAACAAGTTATTGCCATGAACTCTAGATATTTGCTCCCTTAAACTTGGATGCATTACTGAAGAATTTTTTTTGTTTCCAGTACACAAAAACACGCGATGGCCCTACAGCTGGTTATGGTTCGTTTCATCAACAATATTGGTTGGACGATAAGCTAATAGCTGTAGCAGTCATTGACATACTTCCGTTTTGCGTTAGCTCAGTGTACTTCTTTTATGATCCGGACTATAGTTTTTTGTCACTGGGGACCTATGGATCGCTAAGGTGAGGCGGATATTGAAACAGCTATATGTGTAGTATTTCTTACATGTACAGGTTTGTATATGATTTCAAATCCTTGTGTTTTTTTTTGTAGAGAGATCGAACTTGTACAACAGTTGGCGAAGAAAGTGCCTGCTCTCAAATATTACTACATGGGTTTCTACATACATTCTTGCCCTAAAATGCGTTACAAAGGTCGTTTGGTGCCTTCATATTTATTATGCCCTGAAACATATACTTGGCATTTGTTGACTAAAGGTTGAATCAGTTTTTTTCAGGAACGTGAACCGGTTTTGAACCGAACCGGTTTTGAACCGGAAAACCGCTCTTTTCTATTAATTAACTGAACCATTAACCGAGCCGAAATTTTCCACAAATATTTGATCCGAACCGAAAACCGAACCACTTTCTCTAAAGATTGAAAGGTTCGTTTCAACCAATTTTCAATAGAAAAATGTACCCACTTTTTTCTTTTTGGAAACATGGTAATACCCACCATGTTTGTTTACCATGTGACAATATCAAATGTAAAGGCAACCCATCTCATTTGACAGACACTTGACCCTTAACCTTGCGCGTTGTTGCACTTGATACTTGACACTTAAACTTGCGCGTAATTTTTTTGTTTTTCGAACCGTTGAACTGAACCGAAACCCCACTTCAAAGACCAAAAAACCGCTTTGACGAACCAATCCAAAAGTGCAAAAATGGTTCGAACCGTTGAACCGGACGGACCAAATTTTTCATCCGGTTCACGTCCCTGTTTTTTTTTATTATTTATTCAAACTAGTACATATTTAATTGCAGAAATTCGCGCAAAGTTGGATCAACACAAATACCAGCGTTTCAATCCCAACGAAAACGCAAAAGATGCTGATGAGTTTCAGGACTCTGACCTAAATAATGTGGTACTCTTATATGACAATACTTACTTAACGTATCGCCAATACATCCAGGTAAGCATGCTAAACGTTTGGAAAGAGTTTGCACAATTCGCATTGCGTTGCGTAAATCAGTTTCGCTCTTTAATTTCAATTATTTTAGATTTTTTGTTGTTGCTTAACTAGGTGGTTTATATTTTTTTAAATATTCCACAAAAAAATTTATATTGTTATTTTTTATGCCTCAGATTTCATAGTGGTCGATTCTACATGTATGTAATTAGCGTTTCTGCGTCGTTGCCAGTGCACTTTTCCTGCTTAGTTCTTTAAGACCAAATGAGCCATTATATAAGTGGTTGGAAAGAAACACGGGCTTACTTTGGTTTCAACGTGTTCAGTAAAGTTTAGTTTTTTTTCTGCTTTCTTATAATTCATAATTGTATTAGTTTTAAGATATAAGTGTGATTTGCTTAATTTTATGGATGAGATTTTCTTTACAATATTGGCGTTAATATAATCGATCAATAATCTTCTATATATAATAATATTTCTGTCACTTATAATAGCGTTATAACATTTTGTGACCTACTAGTTGTGTACAAATTAATCCTAAAATCCTCGTTATTTCTTGGGTTATACGGTTTCCCATCTCCCACATATACTAACTGCCTTGATAAATATACCCATACCAAGTTATGTTTAATTTTCATGTTTATAAGCCCTGGCAACGTTACAAAATTTAAATTTCCCCTATAATCATTCAGTAAATTTTATTTATAGTAAGTTTAATTTTCTATGGAGTATATAATTTTATCGAAAGTATTAGTCTGCATAAATAATTATACTAAACATTCATATCCTCGTTTAAAGTACAAAACCGCTTACCAAGAGAATGTAAAACCTCGTATGTGCGGCAGCCAAAATTTTACAAAAAAGTGTAAAACCTTTACTTCAAAACGGTTCTTTCTTTTATCCCTATGTATCTCTACCTCCTACACCTAAATATCGATATTTTGGTATAAATGAATAAGGCTTGATGTCAGGAGCTTCCGGTGAGCAAATCTCATTTTTGGCACAAATGTCAGTTACGAGGTTTTTGCAGAACCACGACACGCGGTTTTGTACTTTAAGCAACGATATTTGTAGATATTTTGATCAGCACAATAAAATACCGAAGGAAACCCCGTTTAGGTCGGCGAAGTATCTCAGGAGTTGTTCGCCCATAGGGCTACATTCACTACGTATTCTTCTACTCAGGGCTTTGTCCACCGGAGGATGCAGTATGAACTGCCGGCTAAAATAGCTCGCGCATCGCTCCGGGTCCGACGAAGCATGGTCGCCGAAGGAAATTTCGACTCTGTCGTCGTAAACTCCGCGTAACCTTTCCAATCAGCTTTAGAAAAGTTGATATAGGTCCGGTGTTTGGCGGAGGCAAAGTCGGTTGGTTTATCTATCGAGATGACTATGGGTACGGTGGTCTGATGCTAAAGTCAGCATAGGTCGCCATCTTATGCTGTTTATCAGACCAGCGCTGACTATGGTGATGTCTGGCGAGCTACTGCAGTTACCCATAATCCTGGTGGGTGCGTCGTCGTTCATGTCAGATGTCGAATCGTCTATCTGCTCAGCCAAGTCTGTTCCCCTACGATCGTTTGACAGTGCTTGAGTGCCAAAGATCGTGGTGCGCATTAAAGTTACCTACTACCATACGGTTTTCACCTCTGAGAGCGCACCTATATCAGGGTGATATCCTCCGGGCAGCAGATGACAGAGGGTGTATCATCGTTGAATAATTTAAGCTCAACATCGCCTGACCGGATAGCGAATGCCCTGACATTCTAGGGTGGTATCACCTGCGGTCGATGTCTGACTTCATAAGACGATACTGCACGGTGTGGTGCGTGATGAACGCTAAGCCACCACCATTATCTCGCTCGCGATCTCGACGGTGCACGTTGTACCCGGCGCAATTCAACAAAGTTGAATTCCTTGTGCAACTTCGTCTCATGGACCGCAGCTATCAATATACCATGCCGACACATGAAGACGGTTATCTCCTCAATCTTGCTCTGTAGCCCGTTGCAGTTAAATTGAAGGAGCTTCATGTGGTTCGGGAGACGTGTCGTGATGTGGGGTGTAAGTGATGTGTGTGTTCTTACCGCCGTTGGCTGTGTGCGCTGCTGTGATGGTTGCCGCCCTGGGTGGTGGCGGGAGGCGTCGCAATTGAGGTCTGCGACCGAGCAGCGCAACACGGGCCCTCGAAGTTCCCAGTCCAATCTCGCGTGGTACGCAGACCTGAGCATGCCCTAAAGTGGCCACCAGCCAAGGCAGGTGTTGCACTTGACTGATGTCACATTACGGAATATCCTGGTCTGACATACCGTGCAGATTGTAGGGGGAACCAGGAGTTGTTTGCGGCGGCGTGTGGGTGGTGGTGCGGTTGTGTGTGTTATATGGTCTGTCGTGGCTGTGGTATGGTCTGTGGTGTTATTATGTTGTTGTGTTGTGATGACTGTGTGAAGCTGCTCGGGTGGACTGAGGTTAGCCGTGGAGGCTGCTCTGTTTGAGAACAGGGGGCCACGTACGACGTGGTCCACTGTCGATGTGTCCGTAGTCCCGAGCAGACTCTGAGGTGACTCCACCCCTCGCAGGCATTACACTTGACTGAGGTGGAGTTGTGGTGTAATCGTCTCCGGCATACACAGCAGGTGTAGGTTTCTGGCCCTGGGTTTGACTCGATGCCAG